TTGAAAAAAAAAAAGAAGCACAGGGCAAACACAAAGCTCATGCAAGGGAGGAAATTATAATGATCAGAGCAAAAATGAATGCAATGGAGACTAAGCAAATGTTACAAAACATCAATCAAGCAAAGAGTTGGTTCTTCAAAAGAATAAACAAAATTAACAAACCCTTAGCCAACCTTATCAAGAAAAAAAAGGAAGTCCCAAATCCATGCAAGTAGGAATGAAAAGGGTGAAATTCCAATGGACCTGGAAGATATCCAGAAGTTTATCAATTCCTACTTGGAGAACCTATATGCCAGTAAGAGGAAAAACAGAATAGAAGGACAGATTCTTAGATATGTATGAATTACCAATGTTGAACGAAGATGACCTAAAAATTCTAAACAACCCAATATCAATCAACAAAATTGAAAATTTAAATAAAACCTTGCCAACAAAGGAAAGCCTGGGCCCTGATGGTTTCACTGCTGAATTTTACAAGCTATTTAGGGAGGAACTATTGTCACTACTGTTTAAACACTTCAATGAAATAGAAGGGGAAGCAATACTCCCAAATTCATTCCTGGAAGCAAGCATCACCTTGATTCCTGAAGCCAAGAAAGACCCAATTGAAAAAGAGAACTATTCGTCAATCTCATTAATGAGAATGCAGGCAAAAATGCTTAATGAGCTAGTGCCAAATAGAATGCAGAAGATCATCAAGAAGATCATACACCCTGACCAAGTGGGATTCAGCCCACGAATGCAGGGATGGTTGAACATATGCAAATCAATAAATACAATACATTATATTGATAAAGCCAATGACAAAAACCATATGATCATCTAAATAGATGCAGAAAAATATTTGACAAAATCTAACATGCATTCATGCAAAAACCCTACAAAACATTGAAAAAGACAGTCTTTACCTCAGTCTGATAAAAGCCATCTATGAAAAACCAACTGCCAATAACGTACTAAATGGCCAAAAACCGAAATCCTTCACACTAAAATCAGGATCAAGACAAAGATATCCATTATCACCATTCCTGTTCAATATTGTTTTGGAAACATTAGCCAAAGCAAATAAACAAGAGAAAAAAATAAAAGGATCAACAATGTAACATTAGTCTATACTGTACTTTTTAATGATTAGAAAGCAATGAAATGATAATAAATACTTTT